AGGTAGTAGAGATTAGGTTGTGAGTGGGGGGTATTCATGGAACTATCTTGTACTCGTTTACTAATTGGATGCAACTGGTATTTACTGTAATAAGTGGATTACTCTGCTTGTATTGTTATTTGAGCTTAATGAATGTTTTATAGTTTGGAAAAAAAAAAATGAAGTACATATTAAAAAAGTTTCTGCAATTGAAATGCACATAAAAATATTTGACCAATAAACTGCACAATAATTTTAAACGAAGTGCACATTATTGTCCATGAGGATGCACATTTATATTATAATAATAAATAAATATTAAATAAAAATAATATAAAATATTAACATAACATTGGAAATATTGCACTTTAATGACGAACAGTTTGCACTTTTGTACATTCGAGATTGCACTTTAACGTAACAAATGTACTGATTGAAATAAATTTACAATTGAAAAATAATAATAGTAAATATGCTTTTGTAATAAATTATTACAATTATTTAAAGTAATTAGATGTACAATTATACCTACTAAAATATAGTTTCAAAAATACATAATTTATATGTAATCATATAAAGTAATAAAGTAGTGCACTTTATATATCAACACGACGCACTTTATAAAACAACACAGTGCACTTTATAAAACAACACGTTGCACTTTATCACTACAATCCACAATTAACATAAACATCCTCTGCCAAAACACCACACAAACATAAATCTAAAAAACGGACCACACAACATAAATCTAAAAAACATATAAAAATAATACCTTAACATCAATCACATCATTTATCCACAAAAAGACACAATAATATAGGCGTATGAAAATTACAGTAGTTAAATTTTATACATCGTTGCACTTTATAAAACAACACATTGCACTGTACAAAACAATAAGTTGCACTTTATCACGACTATCATATTGCACAATAGAGATCGAAACCGACATAACTCAAATTTTTTCAACCAAAACTCGTATAAAAATAATAAATAATATTATTAACACATTAAATATAATTTTACTATAAATTACAAATTATTACAACAATTTAGGATAATTCGGTTAATCAAACTAAATAAATCAATTAATTATGTTCATTTTCAATTTGATTCGGGATAAAAGTTTGATTGGTTCAATATGAAAAATACGGGGCAACACCATGCACCATAGTGTCGACCAAATTGCACATTAACTACTTATAGGTTGCACATTAGATTTCTTTTACGCATATACTAATTTCTTAATCAAAAAGTAATATAAAATATCAAATAAAAAATGTTAAATAATAATCATGTTGTTTTATAAGAAGTAATGTAATTTATATCGGTTATTTTGATTATTTATGTTAACCAAAAAGTTAAACCGGATATGTCGAAACCAAAATTTTGATTTTGAATTTTAAAATTTCGGTTCGATTTTCTTTTTTTACCTTAAAAAACTCGATTGTGTCAGTTAGTTTTCAACGTTTTCTTTGATTTATTTAGACAACCAAGAAACTCTATTATTATTATTTTCTATTATTATTATTATGTAAAAATATTATTATTTTTAGCCTGTGATTTTTTAATAAATTATGAAATTGACCCATAAATTTAATTGAGATATAATTAAATTTTCTTAATTGCATATAGGTCCCTAAGATTTATTTAATTTTTGAAACTAAACCCCCCAATCCCCCCAGTATACAGGCTTCGTCATCACCATTCTCACGACCATTCTTATCTACCGTTGCTTCTCGTTGGCCGCAATTATGTCAATACACGAGTTAAATGCACGTAAAAAATACCAGATCAATAGATGCACAATATTTTTAAACCAAAGACAAATTATTGTCTATGGGAATGAACATTATTGATTTAGATATATTATATAGTATGTCTTTTTCAAACAAAAATGATATAAATTTTTAAATAAAAATATTAAAATACTAAAAATATTTTTTATAATATAAATAATAAATCAATTCAAGTATTTAGGGTAGTTCGGTTATCCAATCGAATAAATCGACTATTTCAGTTCAATTTTATTTTGGTTTAGAACAAGTCATTAATAAATGTTTACTCTGCATGTGCACAATAGTGCTATACAAATTGCACATTAATGACTATCAGATTGCACAATAGCGATCGAAACTCCAAAATTAAATTTTCGGTTCCAAATTTTATATTTTGGTTCTATTATTTTTTTTTTTTTAAAATCTCGAGTA